GAGTCACCCTGAACAGGGAAGGTTCCTGCAGGAGGAGGAACAGCATGGAGCTTGTCAAGGGCTCCCTCTTGTGCTCTGCTGCCCTCCAGAGCAGGCTGTGCGGGACCCTCTGCAGACTGAGACAGGAAGGAAATAAAAGCCAGAGCTGAGGGGGCAGCTGTGGGAGAGCGAGGGCAAGGGCTGGACTGGGGGTGCCTTGAGGAGCAGGGTGTGCAACTGCCCCCGGTGGCTGCCTGGGCCCCACCAGGCAAGCCTCTGGCCCCCAGGCTGCCTGTTTAGAGCAGGGAGACTCATGTTCCTGAGCACGGGGGGAGGCTCACACAGGGCCCGGTGAGTGGGATCAGCTGTTATTGGCTGTGGAATTTTGCTGTATGTGTTGTGGTTTCTTTGAGAAGGGTGTGGAGTTCAGAAAACAGTGGTTTTGTTCCCAGTGGGTGAAGGAGGGAGGCTGCTTTGACAGGGTCTGGAAGGGACCATGGAGACATGTTGGGTGGGAGGAGGGGGACTTGGCTCCTGGGCTGGAGGAGACCCCCAGAGCTGGCTCAGTGTCTGTCCCTCTCTCTGTCCAGCCCCGTCCCCTGTCCATCTCCCTCTCCCTCAGCTCTGCAGAGAGAAGCCGCTCACTGAAGCTTTGAGGTCTGGGGTGTCCATTCCTAGCGGGTGTGTTTCCCTTCAACAGATACAAGGACCAGCTCCAACATAAGGCGGCGCTGGAGCAGCTGGGGACGCTCTTGACCACAGAGCGGGAGGCTCTGCAGCAGGAGCAGAAGACGAGCGCCATGGCTGCCGAGGAGAACCAGAGGCTGCAGCGAGAGCTGGACAGGTAACCGCCAGGCCCCCTGCAGCGCCTCTGCCGGGATGTCATTCAGACCCACTCACTCAGCACCCGCTGAGCTGAGCTCAAGTGAGACCCCTGGTGATGGTGCATTTTTACCAACCCTGCCCTGGAAGCAGCTGGTGGTAACAAGGTAAAGGGGACTCCAGCTGGTGGCTGGAAGGAAGGACTCGGCAGCTGGGATGGGGCATTGTCTAGGTTTGGACAAC